GAAATAGTTTTCATTGGTTTTTACTGCTGCTTTATTATTTGCCAATATTTTGCAGATATCTTCTTCCCTTTTTTGTTTTAGCTACAAATCATTCAAATAGATATAAATGCATATTCAGTTGCATGTTCTGACTTTGCCATTTTGATTTTTAATTGAATTTGCTGGCATAGTTGACCGGCCAGCCGTAGAATCAGTAAATGGCGAAGCAAACAAGCAGAAATCTCGTCCACTCGGCGTATACATAATATCGGATTTCAAGTACGCTGATCGCTTGATTGGTTCTCTTCTGATTCAGATTTTTCCCCTGCAATGAATCGTGGCAAATAATCAAATTTGATTCGTAGACCCCACCTGCACCCTGCTAATTGATATGCATGTGTCGTTTTCCATGGGCTGCGCTGCAATTTCGTGCATTATTTTTGGCCGCTGGCTAGAGAAGTCCCGCTGACATTTTTCCATTAATTGAAAATGCCAATGGCCAGGCGGCCGTGCAACAAAGCAGCATCAAATTGCCAACCATATTGTGCATGGCTTCTCCACATTCACTAAACTCCTATATGGGCATTGTATTATTTTGTGTTTGTGGCCGCCCTGTCCGCATAAATTATGAAAAGGCCCCCGTTTCTGGCATATTTTGATGACATGCATGGCATGTCCGTGTCGGGGGAGCTATTTTCTGTTTTATGTTTTCAGTTTTCTATTTTCTATTTCCATTTTGGGTTGCCTCTATTTCTTTTTTTTTTTTTTTTGGAAAAGTCAAATATCCCGCATTATTTACCATGTACTCGTTGCTGTGGCAAACCAAACAAATGTCAAAGCAGTTCTTGTTTGCACTTTTAGTTTGTCAATGCGAATGGATTTGCCATTTCTGTTTGCTTGCCGATGTGCAAGGCAAACTGTAAGTTATTTTAGCACACTTATAGAGAGCTACCAGTTGGGGAACAGTAAATAAAAACTGAGCTTGTCAAAGGGGAACTTCCGATGAACTTGATTTAAAAACTCCAAATTAATTACTTAAAAAAGCGACATGGAAAGTAAATAAGACAGGAGAGAGATCGGATATTTAAATCAACTCAAAAGTTTAACTTTATTTTGGAAATTACACGCTTCGTGCTCGTTTTTACTTACTTAATTATACACTAATTAAAATGTGTATAAAATATTACGAGAGAGAGAGTGAAATATATTCAGACACTGGCGGTTGTTTGCATTGCATAATGGAAGCAGGTGAAAATTCGATGCATTTTTTGATTGGACGTGTTTTTTGGGCCACCCGAGAGCTGCCACGCTCCTGTATATTTTATAATGATTAAAATTTGTTGTCATAAAGCTGCGCCCGCGAGTCCCTCGCAAAAAAAAAAGAGGAGCAAAAATACCCAATAGCCGCAAATTTTCGAGTCTTTTTATTTATATTTTATTGAATATTTCATAACCGTAAGGTAAGGCCATCGGCTGGTGGGTTTGTTGATTTATCTGCGAGTGTAAAATGTATGGCAAAGGCTGGAATTTAAGCTCTCAGGGTTAAAGCATTCTGTATGTTATTAAAGGATATGCAGAACTAACTTTTATCCGCCGGCTACTGGGCTACTCCATGTAATTCTTAAACAATTTCTTCTGCTATTTTGCAGTTTCGTTCGCTGGGAGCTAGGATAGCAAAAACTAATTTAGAAAATTGTTTTTAGCCTCTGTTGCTCGCCGTTTCCCCTTGGCTTTTGCTTTCGCTTCGGGCCCCGGGCAAGTGAGAATTTCCTAGAGGGCCTGAATGAATCTAATAAAGAAATTACTCCAGACAGGATAGCCGCCGAGGACGTCGCCCGCACTAAATAAAATCTCGGCATTTTTAGCCCCACGATGTCGCCATTGGCTCGGCGTCGTCGTAATGAGCTGAATATAAAGTGCGTGCCTCGAATCGGGGGAGTCCTAAATCGCTGTTTGCTCTTAGCCATAACATGAATAATTTAAAAACAAAGGCGAAACGATTTGCGACGTGCGCCTAATACACTTTGCCGATGTAATTGCAGATGTGTGAAAAGGAGCTGGCAGTTGGGCTTTTTTCCTTGGGTTTGGCCAAAAAGAACATTCTAACCCGGCTAATAGCCGCAAACAATGGCAGTCGCCATTCAAGCATTCAATTCACCAATTTGCGCTTAATGCTTGACTATTCCTAAATGGCCGAAAGACAATGTGTCTGGTCCCCAGGGGCTAACACACAAAAAAAAAAAATACAACCAGGTAACTCAAGCACACGTGGCTTCTCCATGTAGACCCGATAAATATGTCCTGATGCCAGGAATTGCCGATTCAACTTATTCGCATGCTCGAGATGGCCAAACAGTTGTCTGACTTATTCATGGGCGCTTCTGCCTCCATTGTTTTTATTGGTTACCCATTAAGTTTATGTTGTATTGACATCAGCTTGATAGGAAAGTGGATCTGTATTTCACTCACTCGAAGAAAAATGGGGCATTTTCTAGGTATTAGTAAACATAAAACCAGCTTTAAGTTGGAACTTGAGGGACTTTTCTTACAGGTAGCTACTTCCTATTTATACATCATATTAAGAGGTCTTTATTTATCATAAATAAAGGTATTTAATCATTAGTAAATGTAAAATATACCACCTCTCTAGTTACCTTCTCCCTCTAGTCACCAATTTAAAAGATAAACTGTTCTTTTCACACTAAATCTACTGCTAATATCAGATCTTAAGTTATTTAAACAAGTGAAATATTCTAGAAAGAACTCTCTTAAAGACTCTCATTTTCGAGATAAAAAGTTCCCAGAAGATGGCCAATTTGGTTGATTTTTACCCCAGCACCGCAGATAGGATTCAGCAGGAAGGCCCTTTGTTCCTTTGCATCTAAAACACAATCTGGGTGGCATCGTTTATGCCAACAATTAGCCGCATCCAGCTGCAGTTACACGCCCACTTAAGCCAGTTGTATGAAAAAGCGTTAGATGCCAGTGAAAAGTAGACCGAGTACACTCCGTTTTGTTCGAAGACCGCTTTGTTTGTGTCGTCGGGACTTTAATTGCGAAAACATTTTCAAAAGTTTTTCATAAATTTTCTCGCACTTAACCGAAAGTACATAACGCAAACAAAAGTAAAGTAAAAGTGTGCTCTACTTATACAGCTTATTTCCAGTGTCAGTGTGTGTGTGTGTGTGTGTGTGTGTTCTGCAGTTGCAGTTGCAGTTGCAGCATCAAACTTCGCTGCGATGGCGGCAATGCACATCAATAAAACGAAAATTGCTGCAGAATGGTGCACAATTGTCCTGGGAACTGAAAGGCGTTGGAATCTGAATCTGTGTGTGTGTGTGGGGGTTGGGGGCGTGGCAGGCTGCTGCAATGGTTGTTGCTTTTGCTTTTGCCTCTGCTGCTGCTGCAGTGAAAACAATCGAAATTATAGCAAACAAGCGCGTAAACTTTTCGCTTTCATGGTCGGATCTATCTATATATGAATGTGTGATTGTGTGTGTGCGGTTGCTGAGTGTGTATAAGTGTGTGTGCTTGTGTGTGTTTGTCCTGCAGTTTTATTGCTGTTCTGTTTCAACTGCGGCTGAAGCAGACATTAAAATGCCTGACAAAAAGCGCCGCCAACTGGCAACCTAATGCCAATGCACAAACTCACACACTCGCATCTGCAATTGGGATTTCATTTCTGGCTTAGTGTGCGTGTGCCAGTGATGCCTAAATTATCATTTTAAATATTTTGAATATTTTAGTAGATAGATTTTTAGATAGTTGCTTTCATTATCAATAAGATTTCTAACTTGTACATAATTACAAAAAAGAATAAGATATATTTTCCCTGAATTTGGTTGATAAGCCTAATATAAAGAGTATCCTGCCAGCAATGGTTAACTCTATTCAAGTCTAGGATAATCCCAAAAAAATTAAAATGTTTGCTGAAACACAAACAGTCATCTCTAGTCTGTGCGGTGGCTTTTTATGTTAGCGACTGTTTTTGTAAGCGGTTTTTTATTGCAGCTCTTGATGAAGAGCGAACTGCGCTCATTTGCGTTCACATTTTCGAAGCACACTTTTTGGGGCCGTGAAAAAATGTGTGTCAACAAAAGTTTTGGTTTTCCAGTTGCAGTTCCGAATTGTGTCCGCTTTCACTGCTCTCTAGAGCAACTGTTGTTGTTGCCACTATTGTTGTATTCTGTGCTTTGGTGTGCTCTGTTCTGTGACCGAATCTAATGACACACTGGAGGGAAAGGCGGAAAAGTCGGACAGACAAAACCTGCCTGCAATTAGAGACTCCAGCTGAAAGTTGGGTATATGTTTGGGCAGAGCAACCCTTTCTCTGGCAGCTCTGGCGGAAAACTAGTTATGCTGCCATAATTAAATGTAAATTATCGCCATGTGTACAAAACTGTTGCCATGTTTACTTATTTATTTGCCAGTTAATTAGTTCGGAATGTGGCCCGAAATCTGGTGACTTTTCCTGTTCTGCTGGGTATTACAAACCACGTACAAGAAATGTAATTATTTTCATTACATCAACAATGCAGACAAACACACACACACACATACACACACACACAACCAAGGAAAAGACAACAATGGCAAAAAAAAAGAACATGGCTTTGGCATTTCCAATACAAAAAGCCAGAGTGCGAGGCCTTTGTTTATTTTTGACATTGACGTCCCTCATTAATGTAAACGACGTTGACTGCCGACTGCCGGCATAAAAAAGAAGGCGACCTTCTGTAATTATAATTAATACGAAAAGAACATGAGCTCTCTGTGTCCCGTTTGCCGTGTCAATGAGTTCCGTTGACCCGAAACCAATACAAGGAACAGAGTCAAGAAGGTCCTGCCTGGGCAGGAAGGGGTGGCTAAGTACTGCTGGAAGGAGTGGGTTCCCCTCACAAAGTGGCATTAAAAATTCCATTAGCTGCAAACTGCCCGCGTTAATTAGTGGGGCAAACAACAAGTGATAGAAATTTTGATGGCATCCCCTCAAAATTCACATTTATTTCTCCAGGACTTACCGAAGATTCGTCCTGCTTGCAAGGCAGGCAAGGTGGCCAGAAACAGGAGCAGCACAAAGCCAGGAATGATGAGCCCTCGATGATTTCCGTATTCGGCCGATATGCGCAGCGTCATTTTGTTTGATGCGATTTGGGTGTAGGTTTTATGTTTTTTTCGATTTCTCCGGTTATTTTTCTCTTTTCTCTTTAATCTAAAGCAATTTTTGCGGTGGTTTGAGTTACGTTTTTGTTTTTTTTTTTGTGTGTTGAATTTAGTTAGATTTTGTTTTAGTTTTCTGCCCTTGGGCTTTCCGAAATCAATTTACATTTGTTTTTTGTTTATTTCGAATGCCAATTAAACTATGTTTGCGTTATGAGCTGTTGCGTTTTTAGTTATTCCAGTTTGATTCGGTTTTTTGCTTTATATTTCTCTCTGTTTGCACCGATTTTGGCTTTAGGTGATCATTTTGAACGAGCTGCAAAAACGAGAGAGGGAAAACGAAAATTAAATTCTGTGCAAATAGGATCACATTTGATTTGCTGGCGATTGATTTTTGCGTTCAATCAATTTGAGGGTATTTGCTGGGGAAACTTTATTTGGGGAACATTTTTTGTTCTTTTTTTTTAAATTTGACCTCATTTTTTGAGTCAACTAACATTTGTTACTTAAACTAAGCTAAGTGAAAGATTCTTCTTTGGTTTTCTATCAAATCTTGTACATAACATATGCCCCGGCTGCTTTTTCAATTTTCCATTCAAGGGACTTTTACGGTCTCCTAAAATCCCCGCAGACTCTATCCCTTTCGTTTTAGTTTTTGCGGCTGCGAAATTAACTAAAGATGTCAGTCCGGAACAGCAGGGAGCATAAAGCCCGCGAATGTGTGTTCACATCTATGTGTGTGTGTGTGTGTGTGTGGCAAAGTTTATATGCTGAAAATGAATTTGGCATTTTTACAACAAGCGAGAACAGCGGCGCTCTCGGAAGTCTGACAGCATAAAATGGAGTGAAATCTCTGCTGGTGGTGTGCAGTCAACTAATGTAGCCAAAAAGTGGGTGTTGGCGCGGGTGCTGCGGAGGATGGTGCAGCGGGTGGTGCAACCGAGAGTGGGTGGGCTGTAAAAACGGGCTGTTCATAGTAAAAGTGAAATGCGCCGGAGGCGGGCTGCACATTTAATGCGGCAACAGTTACAACATGTGGCAGCAAATGGCGATTGCTGTTGGCCCAAACAACTTGGCTTTTGACTATAAAAATGGTAAGGGAGGTTGAGAAGAGTTGGCCTTAAAGCTGCCACGCCTCCTGCTCCTTGCTCCGCCAGTGCGCCCCCCTTTTCAACTTTGGCAGCAGCTCGTGCAACAGCAACTGCAACAAACACTGACACAACATCGCTACCCGCCGCACATTGCACATGACGTAAATGTTGTGGTTGCTTTTAAAAACTTTGTTTTAATGTGTTTGCTGCAGGCTGCAAGTTTATTTTTCGTTAGCCCCCTTCGCCCATTCGTCCCACCCAGGGGATCCCCTTTTGTGTTGACGTTAAAATTTAAAGTTCAAATTTGTAACTTTCACGGCAAGTTTCAATGAAAACAGAACGATTTTCCCACCACAGATTTTCCCAGATATCTCTCAACTTTAACAGAAGCACTTTTTAATTTTCCAACAGCACTCTTCAGCAGGACTGAGCCCTTTCCCGATATTATTTCATTTTCAACAATACTCTGATTCGCAAAAAAATCAAAGGAGTCCCGGCAAAATATTATACCTGCCGCAGGTGGTAATTGAACTTATTTTCCATATTACACACCCTCGGCTTTTACGTGGGCAGAAAAACACGTTGACTTTTTCACGAACACCACAATGTGTGTGTGAAAGTGAGCCTGCCTGGCTGGATATTCGTGCACAAAAACCCAGTTTGTGTAAATAAGTTTTTTATGAAAGCGTTGCTGTTGTTGTTTGGTTTCGTTCGTGGCCAGGAAACAACATTAACGTAAGTTTGTTTGAGTTCTCTCCAAAAAACCAAAAAACGAAAGCAATATTAAATCGTTGCATACTTTTGTGCATACAAAATATTTCCTTTGCTTAAGAAGCGGTTGCTCCCACAAGAACCAACGAGGTTTGCAAAGCCTCCAGTTAAATTTTAACCACAACTTCCATGATTTATTTGATTTTTCTATATTTCTCATTAAATGTATTCAAATTTCTTTTTATTTATGTTTAATTTTTGAATTTATTTTACATGGCTAAAATCATGTTCAGGCTGAAACTTTCTATTGCTGAGATGCAAATATCCAAGCACACAGTTACTATACTTAGTAAACAATTAAGAACTACCTACAAAAATATGTAATTGGAATGGCATTGCTGTTCTTGATACCACATTAATCGCTATTATTAGTGCCCAGGCCCAGGCCCAGGCCCAACGAGGCTCGAAAAAGTAAAGGTCTAATGAAGACATGGAACCGAGAAGCCCATTAATAGTCGCGGCTAGACAACCTCAAATAGTCAACGCCTTACGCTAAGCACCTTAACGACAATTGCCCCCTGGAAAAACATTTTCATCTCCGGTGGTAGTCCGTCAGTGGTCGGTCGTCACTCAACAAGTTTCAGCCAGTCAGTGGCCAAACCTCCGGAAAATACAAAAACAGAGAGGGGGCGCTCTTCCTCGACTGCCACCACCCTAAATCCAGTTCGTAATGACCTGTTGTGGATTGCAGAGTGGCGCAATGTGCCCGGTGGCAATTAAAGTGCCTCGGAACTAGTAGTTGTAGTTGAGCAACATTTTCTCAATTTTCCACATAATTCCAAACGCACTCCCCCACCAGGCCACCCATCTACCCTTTCCCTGCCTTTCCTTTCCTTTCCTTTCCTTTCCTTACCATCCATCCAACCATTCTTGGCCATTAGTCCCCTTTGGGTCCGCAGACAGTTCCGAGCCGCTTTCATGCCCGAATGCCCCAAACAGCGAGCGGAAAACAGTGAGGAGCGTTAAGTAGCTGGATGTCAGTAGCCGATTTGCAGTTATGACAACACCACTACCAAGTGCAGTGGCTCCCCTTTCGGGGGCCAACTTTAAATTAAACAGTAGCAAAAGGCAGTAGCTGCCAGCCGAAAGCAGCGGGAGATGTGATTGCCAGCACGGAGAAAAAATATCAAATATGATATATATTTTTTTTTATTAAATATAAAATGAAATATCTATCAATCTTTCATATAGATTTCCACATTTATTTGCCTTTTATTTGATTTATATATCCGCCATAAATGCTTCTAAAATTACACCGCAGGAAAGCCTTTTGAGCGAGAATGATTTTTAGTTCATTGAATTTCAAACGGGCATTGTGAAAAACTATACTGCTTTGAAGGGTAATTTTCCATACATCACATAAGTCTTAATAACAGAAAAGTAAAAATGAAATAAATAAGCAAAAAGAAGCGGAAATGAGGATGATTTATGACTTTAATACGAAAACTTAAAGTTTATAAATTGACTTAAACTATAAACTGATTTAGAAATTTATACAAATAATATAAATCTGTGAAGCTACTAGAATAAAAATTTGTTAAAGTGCAGAGGAAAAAACAGTTCGGCTGTGAAAAGCGAAAAAATATGGCACTGCATTTGCCATGAGGCACGCGGCATACAGCACGAGGCAGGCAAGGCAACAAGCAGCCCGGGAATTGCCGGAGTAGAATCATACAAAATATGCACAGGACAGCAGCAACAGCAACAGCAACATCAGCTGGAACAGCAGCAGAAGTTGTAATTTACAGCTTATTTACGTTGGAATAAAAAATGAATTAAGACAACGAACCAGCGGCATGACAGCAGCTTCCTCCGCGGGCAACTCGCAAAAGGTAAATGCATAAATAAATCAGGCAAAGTCCAACGGAAAAAGGTAAAAAATATATGTAAAAAAAAGTGAAAGAGTGGAGCTTGAAGTTAGAGCTGGTAAATGCAGGAATATAATTAAATGCTTTGACATGAAAGGAAAGCAGTCAGCTGAATGGGAATGCTGGGACTTGGTTAATTAGCACGGCTACAGGTGTCGCGATGTCCTGGCAGGACGTCATTTAATATAGACTAAGTCAGCTTAAATTTTCTTACGAAACATTCTAAGACCAAGTCTGCTAAACACGTGTCAAGTGGTAACAATACTGTCTCCACTTGGTGGCACATATAGATGGAGATTACAACGCCAGACTCTGCACAATGGGTGTGCGAAAAATAGAGAGGAAAATATAAATAGAAATAACAACTGCAGCAGCAGCAGCAGCTTAAGTGCAACTGCAACTGCAGTGGCTGCATGACTCAAGTGCTGCCACAAAGAGAAGGGTGGTGAAAGCAAGCCAACCCCACTCTCATCCAACAACAAGTTGCCTTTGTTGCAAGTGCAACAGCAATTGTTGCCGCCATGAAAGCGCAATATAAATTGCAGAGCTGCAACAATGAAATTATTACACGAAACCCCTCAACGGAATTTATCACATGCCAGCCACATACGCCTAATCATCGTGTAAGCATTACTGTAAACTCACTGAAAAGGACACTCGAGTCGACTAATTCGGTTTAGATTCCCGGGTGCAGGCTGAATTTATTTTATTATTTGCTGATGTTTGCAATTTGGGCACGTGCCGCAAATTCCAAAATAGTGGAACGTGTGAGTGCCACACACACACACACACACACACACACTCTGGCCAAAAATCCTTCTCCTTCGAAAGGTTAAGCACACAAACACTCTCGTTTTTCAGGATGGCTTTTCTGGAGGTCCAAGAACCATTTTTGCGCTCCGCTGGCTGTGTTGACAAACACTTTTTGAGTGGGGCAAACATAATGCGAAAGTGTAGTCGCGCTGTTGCCCGAAATCAGTGCAAATTTAGTGGCAAAGCAAATAAATTTATTTTAGTTTTTCCCAGCCATTGTTGTTTATTTGATTTTTATTTTTCTTATATATATTTTTTGCCGACGAAATGTCTCAAGTCGCTGGCTGGCTTTTATTGCCCCAACAAATGGCAGCAATGGAATTAAGAGAAATGGCGCAAAAAGGGTTCTCCAGCTTGGTGTTTGTTCAATGGCACATATACAGTCGATCGGGTGTTTTGGCCTTTTGTTTGGGCCCTCCCCCTTGCCGAAAAGTCCCAAACAATAATGTCGGCTATTAGCGGCAGGGCATGACCGAATCCTGGGTCAGCAGTTTAAAATAAAACTTTTTTCCGAAAGGGTCTTTATTTTCCCTCGAAATGCCAAACCAATTTCTTCGGCCTGGCCAAGAACAACCGACTAACCAACCGCCCACGACAATCACTAATTAAACTAATTAACTGAGATGGCCGAGGGATAAGTTGCCCAAAAATGTCTTGGCCAACTCGCTGCAAGGCGCAAATTGAAAGGGAAAACGCTCTGCAAAGTGGGTCAACATAAATCCAAAAGCAAGTCGTCGTCCCCCCGAAAATGCTAAATATGTGCTGCAGTACCAGCTTGGAATTTTATTTTACTATCTGCCTCGATTAAAAATCGTTTAGTTATGGTTGTGGGTCAGCCAGAAAATCAAAGGAAATCTTGGGGATAAGCACCTTTCGCTATATTTTATTCTCTGCAACACAAGTGTTTCTTTAAGTTAGTGGTTTATCCTCGAGATCGTCGGTATTTGGGATCTTGGTACTCGCCAAGCACTCGAACACAAATAAAAACTTAACACGGAACTGGACACCGACTGCCTCATTTTCTTTGATTTTCGATCATTTGTAAATATGCATGATTATTCTGGCATTCACTAGAGATATATATTTGCCCGATTTTTCTCGCTTCTGGCTACTGGCCTGGCTCGAAGCACTTTCTCGTGGCCCTTTTGGCCTCGTTGGCTGAGGTATATTCAGCGTCAGGATAAACGCGCACACACGCGACGCGAACGCACGAAGTCCGGCAGCGCCAGCGGACACATCCTTACGAGCGCACAACAAACACGAAACTGAGCCGCTTCGTTTTTGCGCAAATAAATTCCCAGCTGAAAGCCAGAAGCCGCCGCTGCACCACCACCACTACCGCCCAGAAGACCCTCTATAAGGTCGCTGGTTCGTGGCCGCCTTCGGGTTTCCAGCGGCATTCACCACACACACGGCATTCTCTTCGTAAGTGCCGAACCTCTGCTGTCTGTTGCCTAGATTTGTGCGCGGGTGGACGCTTCGGCTTTCGTCCTGCCGAGAGCATAAGAACTCTCTCAGAGAGCCAGTGATAGTGAGTGCGAGAGAGCTGCTGTTCCACTTTCAACTCCGAAACTCACCACGTTTCCACTCCGAATAACGGTGGTCTTATCACTGATAAGAGAACCGCTCTTTGGCAGACACGACCTGCTCAAGCCTCTCAGGTGACGCTACGAACTGAATGGGAATGGAGGCGGCAAGTGCTTAAGGATAATCTGAGGCAGTACAAGAAAGTCCTGCAGAATGTTTGGACCTCAGCTTGTATTCGTTATTTTCTTTTAAATTGTTTTCTATTATTTTCTAATAATGTAATGCTTTATTTTTTTTTGTTAAATTTATGAAATATATAATTCCGTTATTTTGAGTAATAATTATTGATTAATACCGAAAACATTTAATCAGCGTTTTAATAGACATTAATCCTAAGCAATTATATAAACATCTGGCAGATAATCACATAGATTTGGCATTATGAGCACATTATTTCTATTCTCTTTCTGAAAATAATTATGATAATAATATGTAACATAATATTTAATGGATTCCGAGTCATGTTAGCCCCTGAATTTCTTTAGCAGTGATGCCGAAGTCCTGTTTTGGTTTAAGCGTCCTACATTGAGTCACATTAACAGAGCCTTAAACTATGTTAAAGGAGAATTTTTCGAACATAATTATATTTTGCAGGAACTGTTAAAGACACAAATCCTTAACATTTCGAAACTCACTCACCATAACAGGAACAACCCCTTAATCCTTGCGAATGTTGTTGTCTGTGAACTGCTAACATAACGAATCGAGTCCTTTATCAGTTATTGCCTTCGACTGTAAACAGAACACAGGTCTATTACCGAATTTAGCATGTTAAGGTAGGGGTGGCTGGACTGTTTAATTTCTATGTTTAGTCTGCAGTGTTAGCCAATGAAGTCTGACTTTTAAAACCTGTTAGCCTGCTAAGTCATAAGGCTCTGCTTAAATTTTATCTTTACAGACAGATTAAATTACTTAAACTTGTTGTCCTAATTATTTAAACTACTTTAAAAATTTGAGAGATAACATATTATTTAAAAATATTTTGAGCCGAAACAAATTCTGAAATTACAGAGACTAGCCATGATTTTTCTCCTGGCAGTTCCTGTAACATTCTGTAACATACGAAAACTTCTAGAGCTAACATTCGATAACGTAAACATTAACGTTTAAAGAACTAATAACATTACTGTCGACATGACTATGCTATAGAATGCTTAGCTTAACAGGAGTGTTCTGTTCTCCGTTTACAGTTTCGATTGGTATTTTCGGAATGTTGAACTTACATTTTCTGAAATAGAAACATAACATTGATATGTTGTAGGTAACATATTCTGTAGCTTTGCTAAAGTACTAAAGTATAACATTTACCTTTACTTTCAAAGACCTTTTATGAAATAGAAGATGGATTATATGTAAGATCATTTCATAAATAGATCGATTTATGATTTCAACACAATGTTTAAGATTGCATAGTTTATGAATTAACTACTTAAGGAAGTTAGAAAGATAACCTAATAATATATATTTTTTATAAACTAATAAGACTTAAAAGCTATGACTTACTAAATCACTTCTTGTTTTCTAAAAATATTTTTGCAATCTGAGACATAACTGCCAATCGAACCCAATAATTTGTTGTGCCGATCAGCCCGCAACTTCCGCAATTATCCTGGTGCCCCAGGCACCTGCCCCTTAACGATGGCCACGCCCCCTCCAGTCAGTCAATTGCCCACAATTTAATAGCTATGAGAATGGCAAATGTACTTACCCCCACCAACACATCCTGATGCAACTCGAGTTCCGAATCCATGACTGCAAACCCACCCCCAGGAAGTCAGTAGAGCAATCGTGTTCGCAATCCTGTAATCGCAGGCTCTTCATGTTGCTGCCGTTGTCAACGCCTCTGAAAAGGGAGCAAAAGGGAAACATTAAGGATCAACCCCTAAACGAAACCAGCGACGATTTATAACAAATTTTAAATTGCAAAAAAGTGCAACATTGATGAGGGATCGGGATCTGGCATCGCTCGAAACCGAAACTAATTCGCAACAAGGGCAATAAAAATTATGAACAATAGCGGAAATTAGCCATGGCTTCGGAGGGTAGGGAAAGTCACTCGCTCTGCGGTTTTTCGCCAACTGACAGCGCAGCGAAATGCCAACCAAAGCGTGTCGAACGCAAGCTGCGTCCAAAGACATGGGGCAGAGTGCACAGAAACAGAAATTCCATGATAGAATCAAGTTCTGATTCACCGAGACCTAGCATGGATTCCATTATAAAATCTTTTTTACAGTGTAGCTTAAGGAGTAGTTCGAGCAATTGCAGATGACATTGGGGGATAACACTTTCGCCGAGGGGGTCGGAAGTTCATGGGGGCGAAGTTCATGGCCCCTGCCGGCGCAAACACAAACTTTAATTAGCAACTTTTTCGATTTTTTGCCATTCCACATCCAGGCATTTTCCATGTCCTCGGTCGCGTTTGAGTGGCTGCTGCAGCTTCCGGCGCTGCACCTTTTTGCCCCCGGGCACATGTTCGTGGTAAGTTGATACCGCTCTCCATACATACATCCACGTATATCTATATATAGTACGGCTATGACTATGGATGTGTGTGTGTGTGGAAAAAGTTTCCTTCTCGGCTGGGATAAAGGATACGGATACTGAGCTGCTGCTGCTTCGAGGGCGAATGACACTTGACAGTGATTTATGGCCAGGGCCACTGATAACCCGCCAAAACCAAAACCAAATCCAAAGCCGAGCGGCAAGTGCAAATCCAGGGCATAGGGTGCCCGATTGTCTCTCCAGCAGCAGACTCACCCCCTTTGGTTTCCAATTTATCTACATATATATATCTCTAAATATATTTCCATGCCGCAAATGCTGCAATTTCGAGCCAAAACGCTCGCATGTGCAATCATTTTTTATCGCAAATCTCCCGCTCTCCACATCACAACTCTAAGCGGCTGTTGCGAATCGCTGTCATGTGGCGAGCTCCTGCCCCGCCTCCCCTGTCCCTGCCGCTTACCGCTTCCCGCCCCCTAGCTACTGCCCAGCGGGGTGTTAAATTGCCGGCGCTGCTGCCTCAATTTCAGCGTCATTCAACGCCATTAACCTTCTGTCAATTTCAATAAGTCAGCGTCGCAAAAAAGCTGACTGCCATTCATGGAAATCTGCTGCAATTGCAGACCGGCACGCCAGATCAAAGCCTAATACAATATTGATAAGCAGGAATATAAGTGACCGAGTGCAGAATGGAAGGCAAATCCACATTCCAGCTTGTCAAGTTGGACATGTATGTCCTAAATTACACTCACATCACTGGCCAAAAAAACCTCAAGGGATGTCTCGAATATAAATGGACATTGTTAATGCCCAAAAACTTTAAAGTCGAAACTCTGCACTTGATGGGCTGTTGAAATTCTAGACAAGCCAAGCGTAGGATTTCATTTTCCAAATGAAGAGAAACGAGAATGTTTTCGGTTAGTCTTCTTAGCAATTTGGTTTTATTTATTGCACAAGCATATCGCTTCTTTCCATCTCTTTGAATATTATTTTCTTATTTTCATTTCGTAAGGTTTTCTAAACTTCAAGCTTGAATGGGCAAGAAAGAAGCAATATGTTTCAGCTTTCAATGAACTGATGGCGATGAAAAGATATAGACAATATCTGTTTGAGGTAATAACCTTTAGGAAATAAAATTCAATAGATGAAAATGAAATTCCTTTCAGCTAAAATATATTAATAATCCTGTAATCTGTGATTATTTTAAATATTAGTTTGCCCTTTCAATACCTCTGACTGTGCCTGCCATGTTCATGGATTTTAAAATTACTTTCTGGCTTATCTCTATGATTATAGAACAAACACAGAAATATGATTCGTTTGCAATTATCAATTTTCCAAATTTGAAAGCTGTTGAAATTAATGCTTTAATTAATTTAACCCAGTTCGGAATGACAGCATAAACTGGAAACTCCGTCGAAGTGACAAACCGCGAAACAGAGAACTTGCCTTTCGCAACATCGATCGCAGTGTTTTCCATTTTCCACTATTTTGTATTTTTATCCCAGGTATTTGTATGGCGACCAGCACACACCTTTTCTGACCGCATTCCCCAGGCGGCGGACATCGGGCCGTTCGTTTGGTGGCTGCGCTTGTTGCCATTTCCGCTTCCGTTTGCCGCTGTCGTCGTTGTCATGTCTACATGTCCTGCGTCCTGAATTCTGTCTGTATGAGTTTGTCGTATGTCCTATATGTGTGCGAGAGTGAGTTTGCCGTGTTGCACATAAATCGTTTAAAATAAAGTGATAATTGCATTTGTGTTTCAACTGTCAAAGTGACGTCAGTCCCGGGGAAGTCCCTTGCAGCTGTACGTGTATTGGTGTGCCTGGCCGCCTAACGGCAACTGCCTGCATCGCGAGGACATTTTATGAATGTCGCCGCCGTATGAATAATTGCGATGGCAGCCAATTTGAATCTCCCCCCTCCCCGTCACATTTCATCCCATTCATCCTGCGATTCCTTCTCGTTTTGCCGCAATTTCGGGGTTGTTTACGGCCCGTTTGTATGTTTTAATTTCAGTGTCACTGTGAAGTGGATTAAAGTATTTCGATCGGCTTACAGCCTAAAACGAGTGCAACCCTCGGCAGTTCGGCCCGCCCAGGGAGCTGCACTGTGGGTTTTCCAGACGACAAACGCACTTTTTCCTGCCTTTGTGCACTGGAAAACGTGGGGGATTGCAAGAGGAAAAATCAAATATGTGATATACCTTGGAATATTAGTCATTTCTCCTATGACTTCTAGTCATGATTAAACCTTAAAATGAGTTAGTTTCTTCTTTAATAAGATTTTGCTAACAGTTTCAGTAAGTTATAGTTTTATAGTTTATTTTTCTCAGTGCAGTAGCATGTGAATTTATGGCGGCTGATATATAAGGCATTCGTACCTCGGCCAGTGTCTGTGATTAATATGCAACACCCCGTTGGCTCGTTGCCCCGCTGCCTCGTTGCCGCTTCTTCGCTACTTCGATGTCTGAATGGAGTTCGTGTGAAGCGGCCAAGTGTTCCCCGAACCCTCTCGGCCGAATTGAATTGTTACGCAAATAGCATTAATATTTATATTGTTTTTTATGACGGCAAGGGTGCCCTGCAGACGGGACGTCAATTGCGATGCTAAGTGCCACTGCAAACAAAGAGGAGAGCATTGAATGGAAATCTCGAGAGATCCGCGGCATGTGGCAAATTAGGTTGCCTTTGATGCACGATCATAGCTCTGCCAGCAGAAATTAATGAAAATTATGCAAGAAATCAAATAATATTAATTCACTTAGCAAGGGCCACTTTCCGAAAGTGTTTCACTTACATGACCAGCTGTCAAGGCCCTGGCACGCCCCCTCTTGACCTGCATCGGGAGCGGTCTTGGGGTTAAATCGACACGAACTTTGCGTGTTTGCTGGCTGTCGAACTTTCATGAAAAAAGTACGTGTCGATTTGATGAATGACGTTTATTAAGCAAACAATTTCGAGCTATTTGCAGCCTAATTGAGCCCCATGCATCAACGTGTTGTGGCAGTTAAATGGCTTATTAATATTTAAAAGATATTTAAAAAAGCGAGACCCCGATAACCCGAATTAAATACAAAACAGGAACACGACATACGAATGTAAATGGACCTAATGCGAGCATCAGACCCTTTGCATGTCCTGGAAAAGTCCTAGTGGCAAAGGTGAAGGCAATCAAGTGCGGCCAAAACATGAGAAATAACTGCAGTGGAGCAGGCTTTCGAGTCAAAATGGGGTTTGCATGCCACACGCGGCTGTTTCAAAGAGAAAAAAAGAAAGCAAAAAGGAAAACATTTGCCATTAATTATAACTGCAAGGCCCACACGTTTATGGTCGGAAGTGTAGCTGTGGTCAAGTTGGCTCCACTCTAACCGACTCGGACTGATTAGCTAATAAGTCTCTGTAGTATCTATTGTGGAAATTTTGGCAACACCTTAGCCTTTGTGTTGCCAACTTGATTTGCATAATTATTCCCTGCCACTTGACTGTTGGCAAACAATTTACAACTTTTTGGGCCCCCGAAAAGTCCTCATCATTTGCACATTTTTCGGTTTGGCAACTCTTAAAAAAAATTAAATAAAATATGCATTGCGTTGGGAAAGTTTAACCGAAAGTGCCACAGTTTCCGTGCTACCGAGCTCACTGCCATTTTCCGGGGTGGAAAACTAGCAACTGTAGTTACAATAAATACATATGCAGCTCTGCCGACTGTCGCTGGCATTATAGAAATCCCGTTAAACCCACTTAATTCAATAAAACACCTTTCACACACTTTCCTCTAAAGCCGACAACAAACTATAACCCTCTATCTGTATGTGTGTGTAAGTCTATGTATGTGTGGGTGAATGGCGGAGCTTGAGAGCGTGCGCCAAAAGCTACTTCACGGCGGCAATTTACGTTTAAAGTTGCTTAAAGTTGCTAACGACAAAAGTTATAATTGCATAACGTGTATGTATGGGTGTGTATGTTAGTGTATGAGTATGAGTGCAGGGGGGGATAGCGGGACCGGGCTTTTAGTATGTGTCGCCTTAAAACTCACACACTTAAACATAGTGCCACACACTGAAAGATGCACTGGAAAAAAGACAACCAAAAAAGGGAATATGACTTATTTTCTAATATTAAAAAGTGTTTAGTTTCTTTTTTGTATCCTTTGTTAACATTTTTTTCTAACGTTTTCCATAACTTGAGTTACTTTTTCAATCTCTTAAGATGTTTGTTTCTCTTCACTTTTTCTCTCTGCAGAGATGCAGCTAAACGCTGCTTCCTTGGCTGAATTCGTATGCGAGGCAGCATATGGCAGCCGGAAATGAAACGTAAATCAAATAAGTAAAGAGCGTAAATGCGCGCTCACACAGAGAGATACACACTCAGGCATACACGCACACACACTTAGGACGAAGTACAAGTGTATTGTCATTAGCGAGAAGGACGACACAACAACAGCAATGAGCGATGAATCCGAGACGCTCCTTTCCTCAAATTGAAAAGTTTTGAAGTGCATTTTTCACGAAAGTGGCAGCGATTCGAATGGAAAGGCGAACTGAGGAAATTGTTCATATTATAAAATAAAAGCGGAAAGTGTTGCGAGCAGGGCAATGATGGCAGGAAGGCAAGGAAACTGCACGCCCAGCGACGCATGTCCTTGGACCCCGCCCACTTCCGCCCGCACTCTCAGCCTTGCCACCATTTCCCCCCATCCCCCGACCTGACTTTTCCAACTGTCAGTCAACGGCAGGTTCGAAAAAATGTCAACGGCAGTTGGGGGCGTGGCTGTCTGTCGGTCCTTTTCTCCATTTTCATTACGTTGAAATGCGTTTCGTTGAATTAGAAACATTTCATTTTGCTGCTACTTCCTATTTCTTTCTGCGTGTGAGTTTTACCACCCCCCCCAGCCCCACCCACATTTTTCCATTTTCGGAGGCGTTCCGGGAAGGTGTTGGAAATGTTTTATGTCTTAATAGCTTTTCGCTGGATGTGCGTCTTTCTTCTGTTCCCTTCCCCTCGTCGATGTCGACGTTGCGAAAGGAAAACAGAAAAACAGGGATCAAACATGAGTCCCGCGTTTGGTTTAATGGGTTAACGAGTTTGCATTTTCCCCCTTTTTCCACTTTTCCATTCGTTTTTTATTGAGGAATCTTCAATTAACGCTGCGGGAGTTGTGAAATTTGATTTCGCTCATCCAGGTTAGAATGTTCTAATTGAGTTTTTAATCTTAACTCCACATAATTAAGACGAAAAACCTGTTGACTTAACCCATTAGTTTAAGTCCTTCTCGTCGCATTGGGCCACTGGAACGCACACGTTATTCTTCCGTATCCATCCTGTCTGGCAAATACATCCTACGTTGCAGCTCAACACACAGTTTACGGATTCCTTTTGACCACAGGTCCTCTCACAGGCCGTGCAAAGTGAGCCCATTTCATCGTTGGTACAGCGAAGGAAGAATCCCAGAATCCTAGGAAGCGAACCTTCTACTGCCTGGCTATTCAAAAGGGAAATGGCCATAAGGAAAACCACAATATACAGCTGACAACGTGCCATTGTTGAGGGTAGTTTTGTAACTGAGCTACTAAGGCCACGTTAACATGAATTTATACTCAAAATCATTTATCATTTTGCCATTAGTTTAGATGCAGTCTCAGGTGCATAGCTAATTTAAATATTAAGATAGCTAATGACGAAAACATAAAAACAAATATGCATGAAAACATGCAAATGGGCGTTACAAGTTCAAGCTTGAATCGGGAAATTTAATTTATCTTTAAAATTTTCAAGAACTTCTAAGGGTTAGGGAATATGCTAATTTCTCCACGTGTAAGCCCTTTATGCAACTCAAATTCATAGACATACCTAATCGGCTTTAAGCCATTCAGATCATTCATTCCTTCCAAAAACCCAACTTAAATGCAGAGACCAAAACATTTAAATTGCAGCTAACCAAGCGAAAATGGAAAACCCCAACCAAACCCAAAGCCAAATGAAAATTAGACCAAGCAAAACATAATTTCAATTTCCGCTGCAATTATTTGTGGGTCTCCCGTCCCTCGATTGTTGTCATTTTGTCACCAGCTTAAATAATTAAAATTCTACATAAATGCACGTACTTTCGGGATAGGCGAATGCTGGCCCGCTTTTAAGGTCACCGCCCCATTAACCCATTCTAATTCAGTTGCTGTGAGGCAGACTGGCCAGCAGGAGCACAACATTTTCATAATATATGACAACAGCATTAAAAAAGGCCACAAATTTTCAATTTGGCCCGACAAGCATTTGATACGCGACCGAAATTTGCGCATGAAAAATTCAGTTAGATAAATCCGTGATATTGTCGACCCATGTGAATTATTACCCTCAGTTTTATTGATATCAAAACTGCACTCTGCCAAAAAATGCATTTTAAATCGTTACATTCAATAGTTTTATAGTAATTCTATAGTATTTTGGCTTAAATGAATTAACAATTAGTAGGGTTTAAACATGTTCCTTCATGCTATAAGCCTTTCACAGAGGTTTTTGTTTACATTTTCATTGAGAACATAAACTTGAAACTCCCCACAATTCTCCTTGAAAAAGAGAGACTTTTTAATAAGTTCTTTTTAGCCATTTTTCCTAGTGCATAAGCCCTTTTAGAGTGGCCAAGCCTGTCATCAGCATTCGCAGCGAACTTGTCACTCTGGTTGGGCCAAAATATTGAGGGTCAATGAAAAGGCTGGAAAACTCTCGACATTGCCATGACTTTAATGGAGGCTGCTAGAGTCTGGGTGCACGATTTTCAGGGATGGAGGAGCAAATGCTGGCTAGAGCGAACGGCATGATTCCGTCTTTCATATCAGTCATCTATCTAACCATTTAGATAGGCCATGGAACGGCAGAAGGCAACGATGCGTGGTCGTTAGGCTCTGCTATCCTGACTCTCCGCAGCTCGAACAGAATCGAATCGAATCGCATAGCATAGCATCGCATCAAGACTATACTGCCTTTCGGTTGTATCTTAATGAAGTATCGATTTCTGGCATCGACTCGACGATTTCTCGATTTCATATGCCCTGCGGTGGAATTCCTTCGAGGCATGTAAATCACTTATTACATTTTCGCTTTCCGTTTGCTTCCTTCGACATCGACTTCGCCTTCGACTTCCTTTGCCCTGGGTGTGCTGATGCACAAAAATGCTTGCAGAAAATCCCCCAGCGGTTGAATCTCGGAACTTAATCTCAAATTAGTTTTAAGCCCGTAACGGAATTTGACTAACTGAATTGTCATAATGGCAAATAACAACGGAAATAATGGCCCCATGGAAGAATAAAAATGAAATCAGCCGGCGAAGCAATCTAAATGCATGTGAGTGAGTGAGCAAAGCTGCCCAGCTCATCCCTCCTCATCTCCGCTCTCACTGTGAGCGGTGGCGTATACGTGATGACTTTGCAAATGGATTGTACATTCTTGGCCAAAATGTGTGTGTGTTTGTTTCGTAATCGTATCGAATGCTAACATCATAAAAAGTATTCGATGCTTTATTCGCATTAGAGCGGCGCTCCGATTCGATCAGGGATAATTTGTTGGCTGCTAATGCCGGACCAATCTCCTCCGTGGGACCTTGAATCCCGAATCCAAAGTGTGTTGCCCATTAATTATGGCCACGCAAATGGATTTTCATATTTCTGGGGCGGCCCGAAATAGTGCACTTAAGTCCGCGGCCAAATTGAGATATTTTGGTCCGCTTATTTGAATATGCATGAGCCGTGCTGATGGAGCGATTAAAACGCCGCCTGACAGTTTTTTTCCACTTTCGTTACTTTTCCTTCTCGCCGCCGTCTTTTTTTTTGTTTTTAACGCGGTTTTTAGCGCTTTTTGTTTGGTTCCACTCTGTCAGGCACTTAAACAAATGAAGCTGTCGCCGTCGCGTTATTTATTAGCCAAGCTGGTAAAAATGTTCAGCCTCAAATGCTTTTTTATTAATTTGCATTGTGGCCAACTCGCAGACTAACACACTCCAATGGCTAAAGCGGAAGGAAGTGCACTGAGCGATAATTATGGGTCAAGGAGAGGGACTTGCCTTTGAAGTTCACATTCTTAAAGGGGAGTATTCATGGTATTCATAATAACCAAGAAGTAAATTAGTTTCTCAGTTCTTAAACATATTTTGAGTCATAACTTTTACATCTCTTTTCTCCAAGTGCCGCGCGAGAAGACCCGCCGCCATCTCGTTCAGCGACTGCAATCTGAGCCTGCAACGTGGCTTATTTGTCTGGCTGGAGATGCCAAAATGGCTGCTCGTCTTTCGGGCCACCCTCTTACCACCCAACGCCCCCCTTAACACCTCCCTCCCCACAGACGGACCCTTTATCGTATGTTAAAGTCAGCGCACACAAAATTTTTAAGTGGTTGCGCCGAAAGTTTTCGAGAGTTGGAGTTCGAGAGCCTTCAGCTTGGCTTTTGTTTAAAATGTTCCGGCTTTTTAAGCGCCACGCTGAGTCGGCCTCCTGCCCACTTGAGGGGCGTGGCCAGTCTCGTTTATATATATGTATATAAATCTGTATATATATATAGTACGGACGACACACACATGGCTGGCTGGCACGCTAATTCGCAGCGGGTGACAAAGTAAATTATGATATTCGTTTCCCGACTAACAGACTGCGTGCACTTCCTGCAACGTCTATTTTTCCTTTTTGCCTTCTTTTCTTTTCCTCATTTCCCCGAATTTTCCGCCGGACAGCGCGCGGCAGGTTCAACGGGATTTCCATTATGCCTGGTCTGGTCTTTGGATTGGGATTGCGAAATCAGAGGATTGGGATTGGGTTTTTCGGGCCGTGATTTGTTGCACGGCCAATGTCGCGCCCCCGCGATGAGCACTCCGGAACTTTGCGTATCTGTTTTTGAGCTTCTTAATGGAAAGTTTTCGGGGCGAAATTTACGATTTGGGGGTCGGTCTACGTGAGTACTCCCGCCCCACACTTTTCCCTCTCTCTGATGCCTCCCTTAACCAACCGGCGTCATGTGAAGATAAGCCGGAAAATTGCAGGGGAATCAGAGGGAAGATCCAGCCGGGCAGAGGCTGAAGCAGAGGTCGACTGCATCTGAAGCTCGCTTAAAGCGAATTAGTTTAAGTTTTCGACCATCATGGCCATCGAAGGGCGAACTGTTTGTCACGTCGTTTGCAGTCCTGATCTTTGTTTGCATTGGCTAGGAGTTGCTGCTCCATCAAAGCCATTGTTTGTCCTCCGGCGGTAATGGGGAGCTGGAGTAAATTAACAAGGGCTTAGCTGCATCTGCTACCAAGATGAAGATTGCACTGAGAGGTGTACATTGAAGGAAATAATTCTATGAATTAAATAAAAATTTATAGATGATATTTAAGAAGAAGAAATCAAGATTATAATTCTGATAAAAATTGGCAAGACACATATTAACTTGTACAGTAAATAAACGTGTAAGAAACCAAAGAGTTTTTCCTGCCGTGCAAGTACAAGTTCGGGGAGCGTGCAACTCGCTTTGTTTACCTCATCGCTGGGAAATCTGCTGGCCAGGAAAGGTCCGCACATTTTCGTGCAAACTTTGTTAACTATTTAAGACATAATTTAGCAAATTATTTTCTTCCATGCTGCTGCTCGAGGGGCAGCTGGGCGGGGCGGCTTCAAGGCGGCTCATAAGTAAATATTATGCAAATGAGAGCCTGGGGACCGCCCCACCAGCAGTACCAGCAGTACCGCCAGTACCTACCAGTAACCACCCTCAACAACAAGGGGCAAAGTCAGCCTGCGAAAGCTTAGCTGCAGCGAAAGTAACTTTTTTAACGCAGGAGAGGAGCAGCTGGCTCGGCGCCATGTCCTTGCCATGGCTGTTAGTTTTTTAATCCTTTGCAGTTATTAATTTAATCGCACAGCTGCATTTCAGTACCGTGTGCAGCATGAAAAAGGCCTGAGGAGGATGTGAAAGAAAGGGAAGAGTCCTGGGGAAGAGCGGGAAAGGGGAAAAGTTAGTGGCAACTTTTTGACTGCCAGCCGTGACAGTCAGTCCGCGCTGGCTGGCTTGACAAACGCTTGACACATAAATCCGACGTTGGCTTTAATTAGTCACTGGATTTGTTGTCAAAAGTTGCTACTTTCACTTAAATTATTCATGTAGCCGCTGTCACAAGCCGAGCCGTGTCCAAAATCAAGGCCACCAAATAGGTAAGTTTATTTTTAGCCATAAATTATAAAAGCCAATGGCAGAGTCACTAAATCGTGGCTAAATTAAACACGCAACTATTTGTTTACATTTCTGGGAATTATCATCGATAGGTGGTAATTAAAATTCAAGGCCAGAAGCCAATGAAATAATCCTCAATTTTCATTAAGCCAAAGTTAAGATAAACAAATTTGGCACAGGAAGAAAAGTCTTTTCGTTGATAATTTCTTATAGGAAATAAGTTTATGTTTCTTTAGTAATAAATATTTGAATCTAATTTCCATTTCTTATCTAGAATTCCCTCGTCTTTTATTTATTTAAGAATCCAAAATATTTTCCCATTTTCTCACTGCACAGCCTTTTATTTGATTGTTTTCCCC